GTATTGTTAGCTATAAAAAGATATTAATGTTCTATAATAAGACGGTAATTATTTAAAATGAATGGCATAGAAAATGACTGTTAATTTTCAAAAGCAATTCACCTGTGCTGTCTACATTTCCACAAATCGATTTTCTCTCAAACTATAGCTCGCGTGTCATCAAGTAGTTTGCGAACTCGATACGTTCTCGACTGGTGCTGTTGTACGAACCATTAATGAAGATCATCTCTATAATAATTTATATTAATATTCGTTTCCGACGTCGTAATTAAATCATTAAATGTGGACGATATATCGTTTTACGGAACGCGAACCCATTGTTCATACAGGGTGACTCATGAAATCAGGGGTGTAATCGATATAATATACATTGGCCTCGTCATCAGGAAAAATTTTGTTTTCGTGTTTTTATAATCAATCAATAGAGGAAATGCTTGGAAAATAGGGCAGATGATATAGACCCTACTTTGTTTCTAATTGTAAGGGTTTTTGGATATTTTTAAATGTACAATTCTACAATTTAATTGCTGTCATCTTATCACTATTGACTCTAAGTTGGGAAAAGATGTTTTTTCTTAATGGACTTTAAAATGCTCATGCATGGGAAACATTTTAAAATAATTTCTATTTTCTCCACATTTTAACCCAATATTTTGACTTTTTTATCACTGGTGTGAGCCCGTAGGTTGCAAGGTGATGATTTATTATTAAATTACATGAAGTATGAAATATTATTCTGAAAATTCATTTCTGAATTTTTTACCCTCTACACACTACCTCAAATTAACGAGGGAAAAATTGTTGCTGTTGTCACACCCCCGCCGGGAATCGAACCCGAAACCTTTGGCTTTACGCACCAATGTTCTGACCACTAAACTACGAGAGGTGCCAACAGCAACCATATTTAATAATAGTATATTCAGTATATAGTTACATTAGTTCGACGGATCGTTAACCTTGTAGGTCGGTTGGTCGTGGTTGCTGTTGTCACCTTTCGTAGTTTAGTGATCAGAACATCGGTGCGTAAAGCCAAAGGTCCCGGGTTCGATTCCCGGCGGGGGTGTAACAGCAACAATTTTTCCCTCATTAATTTGAGGTAGTGTGTAGTGGGTAAAAAGTTCAGAAATGAATTTTCATATTAAACTAACTCATTTCTAAAAGATGTCTAAATTGTGTGTATGTTTACATGAAGTAGTTATAACTTAATAAATAGGTACTTAGTATCTATTTATTATTGTTGATATCTGGGACTAAACCACGAAAGTACATTGTCGGAAATCCTTTAATCAAGCTGATAAAACTCGAAAAATTGTTTTTAAAGCTGTTGTAAATGAGAATGTAGGCGTTATTAATATTTTTTATGTAGTATTGATATTGATGAAGCGATTGTATGTAGTATGCAGTGTAACATCTATGTAATACACATATTGGAAGAGGCCACATTCTTGTTTGTCACGTCTGGGGTTTGAAGGCCGCAAGCCGATGTTCCCGTTCCCATCAAACGCGAAAAGCTGTGATGTGGCTTGTGGTTGTTTCATAACCAGCCTCAGGCCGTCCGTCAGAGGAATCGATTCAAGACTAAAATACACACGGTGTGGATAGTTCTCGGTACCAAATTTTGTTGGAAAACAACACAAAAAGGAAGTATGAGTCCTGTCCAAGTGAAGAAAGAACAGTTGCTTGAAATACAGAATTGGGTTTATCAAAATAAAGATAACTCTTTTTGAAAAGGCAACAAATTAAGCGGTCACTAATTTTCAAACTGCTCATTTGGCATAAATGAAAATCCCATTTTCCCTAAGCTGATTCTAAATTCCATAAGGCTTATGTAATGCATATGTTAGATGTTTGTCAATTGTTTTCTTACCAAATTCTAAGCGACATTTATAATTAACACTTGTCGAATAAGATCGTAAAAGTACATCATTATAGCAAGTTGCTAATAACACGGGAAATTTTCAAAAACGAATAAATTTTCTTACCGAAATCAAAAAAAGGACTATATTTAGGGTTGCCACCTTTTCAGGCTTTACATAAAGTATTTCTCGACTAAAAGGATAAAAAAAAAGTACTCAACATAAAAATAAAGTATTTTATTTTTTGTTTTTAAAAACATATTTTTTGTTACACCTAGCAGTCAGTAACAAATTGCTGTCGCTCTTAAATACATTAATAGCCTCTAAACATGGCAAACAAAGATTTAAGTAAACTAAAAGTTCATTTTTAATTAGTTTTAATGAAGCTTTATTCCTGTCGTCCCGCCACTTTGCGTTCATAACAGAGAATACTCTTTCTGTAAATGCTGAAGTGGCCGGAACGGACAGCAAAAGTGACACTACTTTGAACAGATTTGGGAAATCAGGTTGTTCCGTAAATATGGCTTGCCATTTTTCTGTGCAATATTATTGATGTAAAAATACTCTGAATTTCGAATAATCGCTTACAAAATTACGATGTTTACTTAAGGCCTTAAATAAAGTATTTTTGCGTACTTTATATGTCTTGTAAAGTATAACGTACGCACAGTCGAAGTAGAGTACAATACTTTCTAATAAAGTAGGGGTGGCAACCCTAACTATATTTGACCAAAACAACAAAAGGATAGAACGCAAAATTAACTCAAACTCAATAACAAAATTATTTCCCATTTCATTCACGAATTTTAAAATATTTCATTATCTTATTCTTACGTACCGGCATTTAAAGAGAGTCTTCCAGTTATATCTACCTAATTTTTTTTCGTGAAACCCAAACAAAATTCAACTGAATGTACCAGGATTTTGCTAACTTATGAGCCAGTATAGTTACCTAATATTGTAATAGTATGACGGTCATGAAGGTCTGCTGCATTATAACGCCAATATTGGTGATACCTCGTGCCAGCCCGCGTGTCTAATTAAGCCTCCACGCCACTGCGCCCACCTCGTTCGTTGAGGGGGGAATTTTAGTCCCCGTTCTCCCTCCCGTCGCCCTTATCCACAACATTTTACTCACGTAAGTACTGCCGAATATTCTACTAGAGTTTAATCACCATTGTACTGTTTTACAGAGGGTGATATCTCATTGGTTTCTAACGTTTCGCACATCAAAATAATAGAAGTTGATTTAGGCCTTCACGGCCGGATTCTAGCCGTGTTTTATTGATGATATCCCCATGACGGGTCATGGAGACGTCAAACGTTTAGTTTCTTATGAAGACGCCAACTATGAAGATGTCCCTTGTGGTAGGAGACGAAACGTCGAATGTTTTTGACGTTATCATGATCCGTCATGAGGATTTCTTCATCAGTAAGACACATGGTTGGAATCCGGAAATCCACAGTTTCGTCATCAAATTAATAATTAATTGTGTGCAAACAATGGACAGAAACGTTCAAAAACTTAATGTTTAACGAACGAAAGAGAAAATCGGGTCGTTCTGACTGATCAATTATCATAGTAACATTACTTCCAACAGCATACAAAGGTGCAGATTCTACCCCAGACATTGTCAATAATTCTACAGGAAACCGTTCCTTAAACTATCCCTTTCATCTGATGTTTCACATGGCGTAGGGACATTTTTTTCTATTTCAGTAATTCTCTTTGAAATATGTGGATTATTATGATTATAGTTCTTGTAGGGGTTTACTTTAACACTTTTAAAGTAGGGAATCCCAAAAATCTTCCTCAGGTTATAGTTTCTGTTCACGACGTCTGAAATAAAAGGATTACTTTCTCTGTACCTATATATATTATGGTTGTTTAGGAACATGAATTTTTACTGTTTTACGAAAAAATTGAAAAGTGCCCATGTATATGGAAGCTACTCTAAAAGTTCGTTTCAACGGTACCCTATCTGCGCCGTATCTGTAAACGTGTGTGTCGTACCTGCGTTCCGGGAAAGCAGTTAAACCGTTCAAAAAAAACGAGACTTCTCTGGACGGCTGGAGAACGTTCCCGAAAGGAGGCAAGGGAGTATAAAAAGGAAGAGATGATCGCCGAAGTAGAGTAGAAATAAATTGACCGTCGCAGAAGTAAATCAATAGATAAATTGAAAGTGATAGAAGCGAAATAAATAGAACAGTGAATAGTAACAGGAGTGTAAATAAATAGAATAATTGTCGAATTTTAGTAATAATTTAATAGTGTTTTTAAGTTTAATAGTACCTAATTAGTGTAAATAAATAGTTTTCTTCGTAAAAGTTAATTTGTT